ATATTTTATTACAACAAAGACCTTAAAAAACAAGCCCACCAAAAAATAATATGAGTAATTTTTGTGTTGTCATGGTAATTTTTCCCTTTCTTTTAAGTAATACTGGAACTAAAGAATTGATTCATATTTTGAGAGAGGAATCTATAAGCTTCTAAACAGTCTAGGTAAATCACCAAATCCAAGAACATGTAAGTGTTTGATGAACAAATGAATACATGGGTTACAAACAATGCGATTTTGGTCTTTTAAGGTAATACACACACACACACACACACACACACACACACACGCATATACATACATTATCTACATATACATGTATATATATATATATGTGTGTACACATACATTACTAAAAAGACCAAAATTAGGATTTTTGTAAAAAGAATATAAGTTTATACACACCTATATGTACATAACTTTGCTATACACCTGAAGCTAATACAACATTGTAAGTACACTATATTTTAATAAGATTTTTTAATGGTTAAATGGATAAAATGATAAATTTTATATGTTACCAATATTTTATTACAACAAAGACCTTAAAAAACAAGCCCACCAAAAAATAATATGAGTAATTTGCATTTTGGTTCTTAAAACATCTCATCTCTAAAGCATGAAAAGCTCTATAATATGCTTGGTTTTTATTCATTCATGTTATTCAGGCCCAAGCTTTTCCAGATCAAAATTCTTACTGCTTTATCACCATCTTTGGTTCCATTTTATAACAATTTAATGAGTGAGAGATTCTTTAAAGAAAAATTTCCATGTAACAAGACGTAATGCTTTTCCTCTGTATTACAACAAATATTCCTTTGCATACATTTTCTTTCCTTTTGATAGAGGCTAATTGAGGTTCTATGCAGTTTTCAAGTTTAACTCCCCTGTGCCGCTATTCTTTTTTCTAGCCTCCACACCATTCTGGCCTCTCCCAGCACTATTCACCTACGTTTGTATCAATGGTTCTCAACCCTAGACACACATCAGTCTCACCCAGGAAGCTTTTAAAACTTAACAATGCCTGGGCTCCATTCCCAGGACTGACTTAAATATTTTAAAGCTCCAAAGGTGATTCTAATTTGCAGCCAAGGTTGAGCACCCCTGCTGTATATAATATTGACCTCACTGCATTATGATTATTTGTGAAACTTTATCTCCCACTGAAGTTTTTGGCACTTTAAATCAGACTCGTGTGAATTCCAATGCCTGTTGAGTTTGATCTATGGAATCTACTCTGTGGAACACTCCAGAAGATCTAAAATTCAAAAAGACGTCATGTCTTAGTTAAGGAAATAACAAACTATTATAAAAGTACTGGACTAAAACAAACCTAGCATACCATAACTGTGACCTAGGAAACTATATGGGAAGTAAAAATAAAACATTGGGATGAAGAGTCAGATCAACTTGAGAAATCAGGAAGACATGATGGAGAAAGTAGAATCTTAGGATGGATTATGTGTAGAATTTCAAATAGGATTATGTATATGATTTTTACAGAGAGAAATGAAAAATAGCGGGGAGATAAAGACAGTAATTTTTTGTAAACAGCAACGGAGTAAGAAAAGGGGAAGAGATGGAAAAGTGAAATCCATTAATAAAATAGTTTCTGTACCATAAAGAAACAACTTCAAGAGAGGAGGAAATGAATGTAGAAAGTCAGTGGGGTGAAATCATGGAGGTTTTGAATGCTCAATGAATGAGCATGGATTCCTTGATGGTTTCTGAACAGGGACTAATGTACTGAGACATTTGTGCTTTAAAAAAAATCAATCTTCCTAATTAATTATCTTGTAGTCTTGAAAATACTTTTTATGTGATCTGAATTACATTATATGAATACTATAGGCAATGCTTTCTTATGCTAAAATGCTTTTCATTATGTGGTCAATGTATTCATCAAAAAATAGATCACGAAGGAACAGACACATAAATTACATCTGTTCCTAGATGATAGTATTTCATTGGCTTAGCTGAGAAGAAAATAAATGAAGGGGAAGTCGTAACAATAGCTGTGGTGGGTCTTCTAAAAATATCTAAAAGATGCAGCTATCTCTTTTTGGGCAGGGGAAGGGTTATCAAAAGAAAGAAAAGGTGAAGAAAATTTCTTTCACTTAATGCTATTTCCTGTCCTGCCAAATGTAAATAAGGTCTCATATCATATAGTCATATGTATTTCTATATTACTGTTTGTGGCTGAAAAATGCAATATTTGTTGCTGAAAAGGTCTGCAGAAAATTATTTGATTAATGTGATATCACTTTAAGCTTGACATGTTTGCTCAGGTTATTGCTCAACTTGATGAAGAGGCTGATACTATACTCATCGGGGTATTGCCTCAACAAGCTGTATTTGTCCCATACCACTACCCTATAGAGAGTATTTTTAAGATCTAGGCTAAGCTATTGTTTTAATTTTAAAAATGGCATTTCATCAATAAAGTCATCAATAAAGCAATGGGATAAATAGCACATATGAAAAACCTAAAGCAAATCAACATTTACAAGCATTGGACTCACTTTTTTATCTTAGATTTGATCTTAGAGCTCTGTGTGTTTGTGGTATGTGTGTTTGTGAATGTGTGTGTGTGTTTATACATACATAAACATCCCAATGAGAAGTGAAGAACACTGGAGAATTCAGGTACTCATGCAGATATTTAAAGCTCAAAATATCAATGTTTAAATATACAACTTAACATTGTCTTTGCCCATAGCATATAGTGATATTTTATGAAATTATATGGATAGATTCCATGTTTCACATACACGTGCTTTATGTGCTCAAGTAAATTCTATGTACCCTGTGGGCATTTTCAATCTTTTAATTGTATTATGCACTTTAAAATTTGATTGCAAAAAATAGTAAATTCTCAAGATAGAGGCTTCTAGTTCTAGACAAGATGGAATAAACACAATCTATTTTACTTTTCCCTCTAACCACCAAAAACAAAACAATACAAACTACTCTGTACAAAATATATAACTCATTTATCAGAAGACACCAAGAGGTGGAGAGAAGAAAACAGATTGGCTAGGAGCCTCAGGACTTAAGGAATGACATCATCATTATTTCCACATTTGCTTGTTTTTTTGTCCCTCTTTGCCTCCTAAACACTTCACTTTGGATAGAAGGGAAGCCCTCAGTGAAGTGAACGTTCAAATAAACAGCACCTAAGAAAAGTCAAAGGACTAATAAAAGGGCAGCCCCACAGAACAGTAAGTTTTTAACCATAAATGCCTGAGGGTGAATTTCACAAACATAATAGTACCCCTCCACTCAAAGGATGGTGCAGCGAGGGGATAGTGAGAAATATCCCTGCCCAGTAAAGCCCTCAGGCACAAACCTGTATTTCACTCTTCTTCTCATTTCAGTAAACAGATGGCATCCCCTTCCCCATGGGGTCTGTCACTGAACTGACATTCAACCTCCATGAATTAAATGACAGGTGACCCTCCTCTCAGAGCCCCTAGTTGGAACTCTGATGTCCACTCCCTGTTCCAACAGTAATGCAACAGAACCACTTTCTGCAGCAGAAAGGTTTGGGGGAAGAGTGTGACTACTAGGGGATAACACTAGGGAGTTTCTATGTGATAATGGGATGGTTATTTATGATGACTATGGTGATGTCATTTAGTCCAATTTACATCTGTGATACAACCTCACAGAACTATATTCCCTACCCACTGAAAAATTAAAACCAAAATAAAAAACTGGAAAAATCTTAATAAGAACACTAGCTAATTTAAAAGTATTATACCAGTAGAAAGATAATTTCTTTAAAACAAGAAAGACATATATATTATTATGTACACACACACACACACACACATATACACATTGCTAGCTTGTACATTTATATAACAGTACATCAGTTATACAATTCCAACTTATTTTAAATGCCTTCTTCCTGAACATCTGGACAGTGAATAACAAATATGTTATGTGATAAAGCTTTTTAAAAATGGTTTTAGTTTTGCCACTCAGATTATTTCATACTATTACTAAACCAACTATGACTAAAGAATAACTATTTCCCCCTAACTTTCAAAATTGGAGGTTTTTTTTTTGGCTGCCTGTGCACCTTGTGGGATCTTTGTTTCGTGGCCAAGGACTGAACATGTGACCCTGCTATGGTGGAAGTTCAGAATCCTAACCACTGGAAAACCAGGAATTCCCCAAATATGAGCTCTTAATTCAAGAAGAGTAACTACTTGAAAGGGAAAAGAAAGTTACTCTTCACACTTGGATAACACTCTTTAAAATATACATGAGTATGGTCATAACCAGAGGATATAACAGGGTAAACCTGGTTGGTACATGTGGGGATAAACTACAGTACTAATGCAATATTTTAAAGTAGCTAAGAACAAAACACAAGGTTGAGAAAATAAATTAAAATTATAAACAACACCAACAATACTTCGGTTTTTGTGTCTCCTTTTCTGTAAGGAATAGGAAGTTTTCTCTTCTAACTTCATCACTTAACTAATAGAGTTCTGTATGGATGGCTTTTTTTAATGGAATAATTAAATAATAGGGCAGTTAAGTGCCTTGCCTCAGGCCACAGTGGAAATCACTAGTAGGGTCAGAGTCATAAATTAGAACTCATGCTCTCCATTAAGTATCTTTGTCTTCACAGAAAATTAGACTACGCTTTCAGCTAAATATCTGTCTGAACATCACTCCATTGAGTTACAATCATTGATACTAGAATACTATTTATTAGTAGGATGGCTTCCAGAAAACTTTTCTGCTAACACAGTTCTACTCTATTAGTAATATGCTTAGCCATCACAGCCATTTCATTTATTTTAATTTCTGTTCAAGTTTTTTGTTTTTGAAATTCAACAACTCTAAGTTCCTGAATGGCATGGTTGGAGATGTCAAGAATTGTTCATTGTGATGGATCAAGCTTATTTATCCTAACTTGGTATACAAAAAACCTTCCCCAAAGGGAAGATAATCATGAATGCATTCTGTTGTCTATCACTTACTTTCTTCTTTCCGCTTCGAATCTATGTAGGAGTTTCCGAAGACCACCATTCTTAAATCCCTGAAAATGGGCAGCTGGGGCTCCCACAGTGATGACGTCGTAGAGAGCATCTGTAACAAGAATGGACACGGAGATGAACACCTTGCAAACACTTATCTCCAGCATGCTGTTTGCATTGAAGCATTCACACGGTGGGAAGTGTGAGGAATTATTCTGTTTAATTTTGCAGGAATAACAATGAACCCACATCTCAAGGGGGCAAGACGAACTAATCAATCTTTCTAAAAGCCACCTGTGTACCTAAACAAGTTATAATATTTGCTTGATTTATGACTACATCTTAATTATATACTACCGTGTAGAACAGCATGTTCTCTCATTCTTCTATATACTTACTGAGATAACACATTAATTGGTCTTTTGTGTATTTTACTTCATTGTGTTTTGCATCATTTAATTTGCAATCATATTGAAATTCAACAATAATGAACAATCTTTCAACCAAAAGTTGCAGAGAAAAAAGCCAAAATATTACAGTACTTTGACTCAAGGACAAAACAGTACTAGTGCCTTTAAAAAAATCTATACACCACAGTTTTTTGCCTGTGTATACTACATCACACAATTTTGAATGCATGCAATTGAATTTTGCAATTTCCTTAGGTGGCATAGAAAGAAAACACAAGATGTCTTGATCTGTTTTCCAGTGAGATACTTTGCTTTTTCTAATAATAAAAAACCCATACATTTAAATTGAAACTCAATCCTTTGATCTTGAAAGCCATAAAGTTTGATACATATTAAGTTTACCACTTCAAAACATGCCATCATTTTACATTCTAATGAAAAGTATCCCTATAAGAAGAAAGACAAAGTGAAAGCCCTCTTGTTAAACCACACTTTATTTGAGAAATCTAATTTCATAGTAGATCCTTTTCAAATTGACTTTGATATTGACACCTTGGTTGTTTTTCCAATCTCATTTACAGGGAAAACATAGATTATTTTATTAGCTTCAGGTAAATACCATCACTTTTTCATAGTGGTTCAAGCCAAATACACCTGAAACAGTAAATTTTTTAAATAAAATACGTCCTCAAGTGAAAAGACTTCAGCTGCATTCAGAGAACTCAAGGTCACAAAAAAACCCCAGAAGTACAACCCAAACTAAACAGCCACTAAGGCAGATACTGAACAGTCACTTAATGGACTGTTGGAGTGCTGAGCTTGTCTTCTTTTAAAAAGTCACTAATCAACTGAAAGTCCTGCTAAGTCACTTCAGTTGTGTCCAAGTCTGTGAGTCTCTATGTACTGCAGCCCACCAAGCTCCTCTGTCCATGGGATGCTCCAGGCAAGAATACTGGAGTGGGTTGCCGTGCCCTCCTCCAGGGATCAAACCCACATCTTTTATATCTCCTGCATTGGCAGGTGAGTTCTTCACTACTAGCACCACACCTGGAAAGCCATCTTTTCTTAAACTAGCAACATATTAGATTTGTGTGAAATTTAAGATTTCTTAGTCCAGAGGATTTTAACCTAAGACCTAAGAAAAGGATTCTAAGGTGTCCAAGAACAGATGTTGATTGTCTTAGTGACTCCGTTCTCCTTCATGGAAGGGGGATCACAGCTTTCTCAAGTGATCATGTGATCACTCAAAACTGCCAACACTAAATTCTAGTCCACTTTCACTTATCTGATGAGAAACCTGAGGACCCTGAGTAGTTGTCTGCTTCATCTAAAGTCTTAAAGACCTTATACCCAGGGATTTCTGGAATGGAGAGTGAGGAGTTTGTTCCTGATGGGACTCTAAGTCCGTGGCTCCATATAACAGCTCTGCTAGGTATAAGTTGTGCAACACTGGGAAAAGTATACAATCTCTCTATGACATGGTTCTTCTGCTAGAAGATGGAGTGGGAAGTAGTTACAAGAAGTTAGCATTCAGTAAGTACTGGCTATGATTATTTTCCCTATCAATTAAGCATAGAAGGCTGATAGTTCAACTTTTGCTATTTCTCTTAAAAAAGTAAAAATTTTAGTCTGAAAAGGAAAGTGATAGTGAGGCTCAGTCTTCTAAATAAAATAGTTTGTGCATCAATTTAAACTACCTGTGGGTCGGGGGTGGGGGTGGGGGCATGATGCTGCAATGAATTACACTACATTTCTGCTAAAACCTGGGTGATCAGCAATAGCAACAATATACCAAAGTGACTAAAAACATGTGGATAATTCCACATGTCTGAAGCACAAATTAAACATATTCCAAACTCAATTTTCCAAAAGAGACATCTATGATTTTTATTAGATCCAAGAAAACTTGTGGCCTTTCCAACACAACCCAACAAGAAGACGAACGATGAGGGAAGTCGATATCTGAGGGAAGAGAGCAGTTTTTGTTTTGTTTTGTGTTTTTTAAGAGAGAAGTTTTAATTGATGGAGATTAACCTGTGGAATGGTCATGTATGGATGTGAAGAAAGCTGAGCGCCAAAAAATTGATGATTTTGAACTGTGGTGTTGGAGAAGACTCTTGAGAGTCCCTTGGACTGCAAGGAGATCCAACCAGGCCATCCTAAAGGAGATCAGTCCTGGGTGTTCATTGGAAGGACTGATGCTGAAGCTGAAACTCCAGTACTTTGGCCACCTCATGTGAAGAGCTGACTCATTNGTAAAGAGGAGCTAAAAAGCCTCTTGATGAAAGTGAATGAGGATAGTGAAAAGTTGTCTTAAGGCTCAACATTCAGAAAACTAAGATCATGGCATCTGGTTCCATCGCTTCATGGGAAATAGATGGTGAAATACTGGAAACAGTGTCAGACTTTATTTATTTGGGCTCCAAAATCACTGCAGATTGTGATTGCAGCAATGAATTTAAAAGACACTTACTCCTTGGAAGGAAAGTTATGACCAACCTGGATAGCATATGTAAAAGCAGAGACATTACTTTGCCATCAAAGGTCCATATGGTCAAGGCTATGGTTTTTCCAGTAGTCATGTATGGATGTGAGAGTTGGAAAGTGAAGAAAAATGAGCGCCAAAGAATTGATGCTTTTGAACTGTGGTGTTGGAGAAGACTCTTGAGAGTCCCATGGACTGCAAGGAGATCTAACCAGTCCATCCTAAAGGAGATCAGTCCTGAATATTCATTGGAAGGATTTATGCTGAAGCTGAAGCTCCAGTATGTCAGCTACCTGACATGAACAGCTGCCCCATTAGAAAAGACCCTGATGCTGGGAAAGATGTGAAGGCAGGAGAAGGGGACGACAGAGGACGAGGTGGTTGGATGGCACCACTGACTCAATGGACATGAGTCTGAGCAAGCTCTGTGAAGGACAGGGAAGCCTGGTCAACAAGCTGGTCAACAACAGAACTGACTTACTTTTGCAAAATTTGCAAAACTATTTGTGACCACAAACATGGCGCTAAGGCCCCTTTTAGGGTCTTATAAAGAAGCCCATGCACAGGAAAAGGCTTGAACCTAAGCTTTGCTAGCTTCATGGAGAATCTGTCTCTTCAATCTATCCATAGTTTCAGGCATCCTCTGAAGCTACTTTCTAGGAACAGAAACTTTCTCTTTATTCATCCATCTCACTGAAATGTTGGGAATCCTAGTAATCTATGCAGGAACTAAGATACTTTGAAAGAGTAGACAAAGGAAGAGAACCAAGTGACTCAAACACGCTCCACTCAAAAAAGAGCCAATTATTTATCTTTAAGTCTAAATGAAGAAACTAGCATTCTTTAAAATCATCTACAGTTAAGAACCTCCAAAGTTATGAGCAAGCTCTTTCATATCCAAAATTCTGAATTTTACTCTTTTCTATTCTATTTTCTATTTATGAACTCATCTCTTTTAGGTTTTAACCCTGTATTTTTACAGAAGCCTATAAAATCTCCATCTCTGGCTAGTCTGACTTCTTCCACACTAAACTATCCAGTTCCTAACCTGTCTTATGAACATCTTCGAGTGTCAACCAGCTGTTAAACTTAACTTGTTCTGGCTTAAAAAAAAAAAGGAAAAAAAACTCTTAGAAAACATGTATTTTGCATATTTACATTTTATAAAGATGAATTATTAAAAAACATAGTGATAAACTGATACAGCCACTATGGAGAACAGTAGGGAGACGCCTTTAAAAACTAAAAATGGAACTACTCTGTGATCCAGCAATCCCACTACTGGGCATACACCCAGAGAAAAGCATAATTTCAGAAGACACATGCGCCCCAGTGTTCACAGCAGTGCTACCCACAACAGCTATGACAGGGAAGCATCCTCAACAGAGGCATGGATAAAGAAAATCTGGTACATACATACAAAGTAATATTACACAGCCATAAAAGGAACAAAATTGGGTGATCTGAAGTGACATGGTTGGACCTAGAGAGTGTCATACAGAGTGAAGTAAGTCAGAAAGAGAGACACAAATACTGCATATTAATGCATATATGTGGAATTGAGAAAAATGGTATAGATGATCTTATTTGCAAACCAGAAATAGAGACAGAGACATAGAGGACAAATGTATAGACCCAGGGGAAAGGGGAGGGATGGGATGAATTTTGAGGTTGGGATTGATGCATATACAATATTGATAGTATGTATAGATACTACAGTATAGATGACTAATGAGAACCTACTGTATAGCTCAGGGAACTCTACTCATTGCCCTGTGGTAGCCTAAACAGGAAGGAAATCCAAAGAAGAGGAGGTAAACATATATATATAAAAGGATTCACTTCATCAGAGAAACTAACACAACTCTGTAAAGCAACTATACTCTAATAAAATTTAATTTAAAAGTAAAATAAAATTGAAAAATGTTATATATTCTAAAATGCTCACTGAAGTCAGTTATTCATTCTATTCAACAGCATATTTTAAATATATCCTAGGAGCAGTTTTATTCCTTTACATTTAGTTAGAATTAGCTGCAACTGATTGCTTTTCTCTAGGAGAAATCACATATACAAAAAAAGAATCAATCAAAACATTAAAATCCTAAGATACTCTGATCAGTGATATTTGTCTCATTTTAAGATGTTCCTCATTTTATCCTCCTTATATTATCTTTTGTGATATGAATAGCCCTTAATTTTCAGATTTTTGGTACT